GAATTATGTTTTGAGTTTAAAATATTAAAATTAAAAAAATTAAAATATTTACAAAATAAAATAAAAATATTTAAATAAAAATAATATATTTAAAATAAAAAATAAAATTTTCTTAAACATTTTTAATATTTTTTAAAAATAAATCTAAAAATACTACCCCAAATGCTATTTGCTTCTTCCAATATTTTTTAATATTTTAAAAAGAATGGCAATAAGATCATTTACTATAGAAAAAATAACACCGTTTGTTTGAATTTGACAGAAGGGAAAAATTAGAGGAATATCAGATAAAATAAAAGAAATTACTGTAATTATTGAAATTACAGAAAAAATTACTGTATTTATCAAAAAAACCTCAGGAAGTCAATGCAATTTAGCCAATACATATATTTATTCAAGTACATGTATAGCAAATATGAGCTTTATTGTTTGCCTAAAAAACACATATCAGCTATTTTGACTGATTATAGCTTGCACGGCAAAAACAAAAGGGGAAAAGAAAACTGGCGTCGCCCGGGTTTGAACCGGAGACCTTCAGTGTGTTAGACTGACGTGATAACCAACTACACCACGACACCTTAGCTGCCAGTTTTCTACAGTTATATATTATATCAAAAAAATAACTTTGAGATTCTCACATCACCCCATTTTACCCACTAATCGTGAATTAAATTTAAGTTATGATAGGAATCTCAAATAAATTATTAAATTTTTTATCAAACATCTCACATGGATGTAAAATTCACACACATGTGACAGATTTGATAAAAAATTTGATATTTTGTTTGAAATCCATATCATTTTCCTTAAATTTTGAATTTATAATCCGTTTTAAAATCGTTCCACTATAATTAATATACCTATATTTTTTAACATCTAATAAAATATTAAAATAAAAATAATATAAAAATGATTAAATAATATATAAAATTTATTATAAATTAATAATTATATATATAAAATATGTTATGTAAAATTAATTTATATTATATATATAAAAAATATTATATATTATGTAAATATTTAATAATTAATTAAAATAAATATTTTTTAATTGATAATTTATTTAAAACCATTCAATAACCTACCATCAATCGGCCATTTATTATCAAACCTCGTTGGTGTTCTTTTCCCAATTTTCATTGCAATTTTGTAAGGAGTAACACTAAGATGGATAGTGATTGGTGGCCATAAATTCTGAGCTTAAATAGTTTGAAAATGTTAAAATAATATCATTTTGAGTATAAAATAATTTTGAAAATGTTAAAACGATGTCGCTTTGATATTTTCAAACCATTTAAACCATAGAATTTAAGACCACCAAACATTTTCCTAAGATATTAAAATTTTAATCAAAACAATTAATAGAAATTTTACCGCCTCTAATATTTTTCTTTTACAAGTCCTTCCCTCTCCTCGGGTCGGGAGAAGCCCTAGCTTTTCCTCCCCCTTTCCTCCTTCTCCTTCATTCACATCTCTCTCTCTCGATCTGTATATCTATCTATCAACATATATATATATATATATAGTTTTGAGTCAGATCAGATCTATATTAAAGTGTAGATCTGGTATTTCTTGGTAGAGTTTGCCGAAAATGTCAGGCGCTGCTTCCTTGGACATGACCCTGGACGACCTCATCAAGAACAACAAGAAATCCGGAGGAGGAGGTGGTGGTGGTGGTGGTAACTTCAGAGGCAGAGGTCGCTCCTCCTCCGGTCCTGGCCCTGCTCGTCGCTTCCCCAACCGTGGTGCCAATCGACCTACTCCCTACGCCACCGCCCCCAAGGTCACATCCTCTTTCTCTCTGTCGATCATCTGTTTCGATATGTAATTGATGATTCCTTCGTTGTGTGGTGATCTGTTTCATTTTGGTTTATGTAAATGGATTGTTTTTGGATTTGGATAATATAGGTGGTTCAAGCACCGGATTCGAGCTGGAAGCATGACATGTTTGGTGCGGATCAGGGAGGGATGGCCTATCCAGGTCAAGCAGCTGGTGGTGGTAGAGCCTCTTCCATAGAAACCGGAACCAAGCTTTACATATCCAACTTGGATTATGGCGTCTCCAACGAGGACATCAAGGTAACTGTTTCATTTTTATCATCTTTCTACTTTTTTTTTTAGTTTGTTTTTTGTTTTTCTGTTTTCTTCAGTATGTGTTGATAAATATTTGGATCTATATGGATGTGCGTCTCTTGTATTTATTATGACTACATTCTCATTTCAAAAGGCAGTGTTTTTACAGTCTCTTTTGTTATCTTGTTAGGTTGTGTAGGAAAATGGTAATAATTTTTGCCAATAGAAATTAAAGATTTTGCTGCTTTTTTGTTATGTGTCTGTCACTGAAGACACAATTTAATTTGACCTCATCTTGTTTCAAAAGTTGGAATTATTTTAATGGAGGAGGTTCTTTTGTTTCACCACAGATATATATACTAATGGGATAGATATTTTGGTGAAATTGTGTCACTTCCTAGATATTTGTAAAGACGGCTTGAATTAATTTTTCAGCAGTTCTAAGAACCCAAGAAAGTGGCTAAAATTTGCAATCAAGGGCTGAGATTTATTCATAGTGTGGCCCCACAATAACAAATTTTAATATAGACCTTTGATATGATTACAATTTATGTGTCATTTTCTGGTTTGTTTTATGGGTTCCTAGACTTTCTGTTTTACAAACAGCAAATTTGCTTCAAGTTTCTGTTTGTAATGGAAGGACAAGGAGGTAATTTGGCAAGTGTTTCGTATGACAATGTTTGATTAAGCATTACAATAACTCTACTTTTCTGGCTAAACATGTCGAAGTTGTGTACTTGTTTTTCATGGCAGTACTTTTTATCTGTTTTTATTTGCGAGACTATCTTACTAATAAAGGTTTTTTTAGTGGAAATATGTTGAATGTTAGTAGATTAGACAATATTCTTTAGCCAAAATAATAAAATATGGTATTTTGTGCCCGATAAATCAAGATAAGTTTGTATAATGTGCACTCATATCTTTTGTTTTAATGGGTTTGTTAATAACTTCATGCAGCATTATGAATGTATTTGTACTTTTGGTACTGTTGTTAACTTATAGTGCTTTGCTTTCATATGAATTAGCTTTCCCACTGTGTGTGTATATATAGTTATTTGTTATGAATAGTTCAGATCTAATTAATTTTGTTGCTTGGTTTTACTAATATATGAATTAAATGTGCACAGGAGCTCTTTTCAGAGGTTGGTGACCTCAAACGATATTCAATACATTATGATAGGAGTGGGAGATCAAAGGTATGCTATCAAGTTTGGCATGACGTGATCTCATTAAGAACTCTTTTATGTCGTACTGTGTTTAAAAGATAACTTTTGTCCTTCAGGGAACAGCAGAAGTTATCTACTCTCGACGACAGGATGCTTTAGCAGCTCTCAAGAGGTACAACAATGTGCAGCTCGATGGGAAGCCGATGAAAATTGAGATTGTGGGGACAAACATTGTGACTCCTGCTGTGCCTCCATCTTCAAATGGTTCTTTTGGAAATTCAAATGGGGTTCCAAGAAGGTATCCTGGTTTTTTCATTGTCTAAACATGTTTTCTCCCTTTGAAGTGTATTTTAGATCTTAAGATTTCCATTCTTGCTGCATGTTTGTTACTTTTGAGATTAATGTTTGTCCCATTGTGTTATGGTTAATCGAATCATGTTGCAAATGCTATCATATCAACATGTTTCAAAACTAAGTCATACCAGTCTTACTAGAAAACGTTCATATACCCTAGCGAATTATGTTTTGGAATGCACGTTTTGAAATATGGTACACTTTCATTCCAAAATGGTAAATTTGACAACCCGAAATGATCCTAAAAGTTTGTTCCAATATATTTCCTTAGAAGTAAAAAAAATAAATTATAATGAACTAAAATATTAGGTGAGTAAGATTTTAATATGATAAAATATAAAAAATGAGTCATAAAAATGTAAAATGTGTTGCTATATGACTAATTTGGAAAAAAATTAAATTTTATTTGATGAATTGCTAATTTGTTAAACCCAACCCCCCCCCCCCCCTGCGGCCGCGATTGGAAGTAACTTAAATTTTTAGTGTAAATTGTACACGCCTACCCTTATCTTACCATAATTTAGAACAAGTGGGTACCGTGTTCCCATTCCCCGTTTCATATATCGGAACAATCCACGTTCCAAATAACACATACATCCAATTTTTGGAACGAACTTGTTGAGATTTATCAAACAAAATCAATAGTGAATATAAAATTATGTAAAAAAAAAGAAAAATATAGTGATTTTTTTTTGAAGCTACTATATGGACCACTATTAGCAGTAGTTAGTCTTAACTTGCTTTATAAATTTGTTTGATTTGTCCATGTTTGTTTTGGCTTAATTGAGTATAAAGTCTATGGAGTTGGTTGAGTGAATTGAACTTGCTCACTTGTATATTTACCCATAAAAAAGACTAGTGGGAAACTGAGAAATTGAGAAACTTCATCACATAAATTGTGAAATTTTGTCGCAAAAATGAGAAATTGGAATGAAACCAAGAAATTTTGTTCGGGTTTCACAAAACTGAGAATTTTTTATGTTTTTGTCAAAATTGATATATTTGTCAGTTTTTTCCCCCACAAAAATGAGGATGACTTCTAGTATTAGGAATATAGATTTGTTGGACGAATAGTTTTAACCTGAATGTATGTTCTGAAGGAGTTCCTGTCTTGTTGCGAAGCGCGAACAGCTGACTCTTACAGGACTATAAAATGGTGCTAGTTAGTTCTCAAACTAATAATTATAACAACAGCAATAATGACAATGCAAGCTTTGTGGGACATGGGTTCTCTGTTTTCTGAACATATTCTCTGCCCTCTATAGTAGTATCTGTTCATTGTGCTTTTCAAGATTCTTTTCAATTCCCTTTTTGAAACTCATGGGATGCTTAATTTAGTAAAACTATGTTTCTGTACATGCTGTTGATTGTTCTTGCAAGTTGTTTTAGTACAAAATGGCATGCATTCAATGGAAACTAATTTATGCATCTACAATAATAATAATAATGTACCTTTCTCGGTTAACATGCTTTTGATATGTTGTTGGATCAGTGGACAAGGAAGGGGTGGCCTAACGGGAAGGATTCGTGGCGGCAACAGTGGAGGCCGTGGATTTGGGAGGGGGCGCGGACGGGGAAGAGGCCGTGGTGAGAAGGTGTCAGCAGAAGATCTTGATGCAGATTTGGAAAAGTATCACTCAGAGTCAATGCAGATCAATTGAAGGAATCTGTTATTTTTATCACCTGGCACTTTACTCCTGCTGTATCCATTGTGTGCTTGATCATGCAATAATCTCAACTAGTTTGTGTATTTCAATCATCCAACTCTTTTAAGAGTAACAAGGAAGAAAAATACCGGTACAGAAACTGTTAGAACCTTGGTTAATGGAGCTTGGGCTTTTACTCTTGTTTGTTCCTTTCATCTGGGTATGTTACATCGGTCAGTGTGCTGTTGTATGTATTCTGAGTCACAGCATTTTGGCTTCTTTAGCTACTTTAGTCGTCCTTTATTCATTCCATACATGGATGCATATAGCGGGGAGTTGGGAACTATCTCTCTTTTGTTCTCCCAATTGAAACCAAGGTGTTTGTACCGCAAGGTGACAGAATTGGGCTGAAAGAGATTTTACCTACACCCAATGCTTTGAAGGGGTACTTACATCACTCGACTGCAAAGACATCGGTTTGAGGTAGTTTTCTATTTTTGCTTTCCATCTTCTGCGGCCTATTTCACAGTTTTATGTTCCTATTTCTTTCTTTTGAAGAGTTTGTAGTTGCCTAGCTGTTTATCGATTATGAGTTAAATCTTTTCTTCCTCATTGTCTGCATGGAAATACTATGGCATATTTTAACACGTTACATCATAATGAAGCCTCCTTGGTAACATGATGTCGGTGTAAACAAGGGGTATAGAAATTGGTGTTATGGATAATCTGAGGGTTTTATTTTGGTATCTGCCCCAATGTATACAACTTGGTTAATTGATTTGTGAAAGCAGCATTTTTGTTGTGCTGATCTGGCTGAAGAGGTTCAATGCTGAGATCACTGGATTGTAGGTGCAGCTATTTCATTAGCTCTACTGAATTTTTAGTGTTGATTGCCGGTTGTAAAACTTCATTGAAAGGAGAGATTAGTGGCTAATTCAATGATTATTTTTGGAGCTTGAGAAGGATTTGTAGAAAGCAGACTTGGTAAAGTGGTGACCAATTTCTTTTGGTATGATTGGCAAGTTTACTGTGAGAAGATAACTTCAGCTGATTTGGGTTTGTGGAAGTGCTGTTTTCGTGGTCACAATATATGGAACTTAAATTGCACCAGGTGAAGACTTTAAGAGTCCCAGAGAAACAGCTCGGGTATGTTCATGTGCTTATTGAGTAATACCAAACCTCTCCTAGGGTTGCAATGTGGACTGATACTTTTGCTATGAAAACAGAGCTTTGGAATCCCTGGAAAGGTTGTGTTTGGAATTACTCCCCAAGTTTGTTAACACTTGACAGCGGTTGTTGGGGAGTGCTGCCAGTAGAGAGAAATATCGAGTTATATCTGTTGTGCCAACAAAATTGCCTGCTGATACCCAAAAGGGCTGGTTAATCCAACATAGTACGTGGTTGTTCATAATCCAACACCGTCTGTGGATGTTCCCACACGAAGGGGCACATGTCCTACCTTCGACATGTGCTCTTTTACAAACTTAGATAAAGATAAAATCACAGCAGATAGGGATGGAAACTGGTTGCCCGAACCAATGCAGTCAATTAATTTGCTGTACCAGATTGTAAATGTGGCAATGCAGTACTGGAGCGACGACCCCAAGAGTTTGGAAGATATCTTGAGAAAGGGTTTTAGCACCGGTGTATCCTATATGTATTCTAGTTTATTCAAAGTATCCCAATGGTGTAATGCGGTCTACTTATTGGGGATATTTCGAGTTTGATTAGGGGATATTTCGAATTTGATTAGGAACTTGGGAAGCCGTACTGGTGTCAATGGAGCAAATTTTAGTTAAATAGATCCGTTGGATTCTCACTTGAAATCCCACGAGGGCATTGCATGTATTCTTTATTATTTCATGTCCTTCAATCCTTCAACTTCAAACGAGAGATTTCTAATTGGGCACCAATTATGATTTATTTCGTTTGTTATGTTCATAAAATTGTTTTAAAAAAGAGCTTGGTTTACTTATCAAAATTCAAAAAGCACTTTCAATTTTCTGCTGTAGTGGGCCTTATTTGCCCGAATTATTTTGGGGAAAAAAATTATCAAATAAAAAAATTTCATTATCTCCTATGGGGGCTATATTGATAATTATATGTTAAAACCATAAAATTTCAGGAAAAAAGTCTTGCGTTTTGAACAAACAAGAAAAATATGACCAGTCAATGAAGTAGGGTGAACTTAAAAATTTCTCTTAGCTTCTTTCCATTTCTGGAAGGGGTATTAAAGTGGAAGTGTAGCACTCACTATCCTGGCTAACAAATTTTCCTTCGGTTTTATGAAATCTGTGAAATTTAAACAATGTATCAACCACCCTCTCAAATTCATACAACGTAAGAAAAGGCTCTAGTAAGATTTTTAACCTTAAATTATAAGATGACTACCACCAGATTATACATGGCCGAACTAAGAAAAAAAAAATTCAATTTGGAAGGTAAGAATCTTAAACAAGAAATCTATAGATTTTCATAGTAATAAATTATAGATTTTCGTAATTCAACCGTTGGAAATGGATATTATTTGATTATCCACCACTTTAGGCAAGAATATTATCAAAACTAAAGAGTAAACAAAATAGATGAGCCCACAATATTTAATACTGATATAGAAATCCTAATTAAACCAAGTGTTTCAATAATATTGTCACGATAATTTTATTAATGGGGATCCTTCCACAAAAAAAGAAAAATGGGAGAGATTTTTTGTGGTGCAAACCTGATTTTTAATTTCTGTAATTTCAGAATCAGTATAATCAACATGTGCCAATAAGCAAAAGGAAGAGAACACGGCCACACACATACATACACTAGACAATGAGGCCTTCATATGATTACAGTTTAAACTTTACACGAGGTTGGATATGCAAAATTCTGTGGTATACACGGTTAGGAATCCTTGGCTTTTCCCAACTTCTCCCAAACAGAGAAAATCAAGCTCAAAATAGAATACAGAATCGCCTGCATGCAAGCCTTAATAAAGTTCCAACAAGAGGAAGGCCAGTACCATGGATACAGCAACCGGAAAAACAAGCTTATAAGATGCCGAGGGTATCGCCCAACCTGAACCAAAGCCATCAATGTCATGCTCTATTAAGATCCCCCCACACATCAAGAATATGAATTAGACACCTCAATAATCCAATCACCAAACTGATTAAAGAACGAAAAGAAATAGCTAAACTAAATTTGATGTCTATACTACTATGAGTAACTATTGAAAATTCATTCGACAAATTTGTATCTCATCTACTAAACTTCAGAGGCAAGACCAAAAATCATGGCAAACTTCCAATACCACAGACAGCTTATCTAGTTTATCGTGATGTAGTAATCAGGTTGCAATTTAAATAATATAAGGCATTCACATAGGTACACACACATGTATTATGTGTAAAATATAAGTATTGACCAACTATTCCAAGCAAGGTTTTAAATAACGGTGGCGGTTACCGTAACGGTAGCGGTAGCGTTGATGTGGTTGCGGGGTGTAATGGTAGTAGCGTAACGGTAGTAGTGTAACGGTGGCAACAACCGAAACTGTGAATCTTTTAATTCTTCGCATAACTTTAGGAAAACGTACCTTTAAGAAAACATACCAATATACATGTTTTTTATTTCAGAATCACATTTAGTGAGATTCAAAATGATTTTTACTATTTTTGTTTAGTTTTAAAACATAATCAAACATATATATACTAATATTTATATTATTTTTAAGTTGCTATGGAGAATTTTTCTATTGTTTGATTCATTTAATTTTGGGCAAATTACATATACACCCCTTGAGGTTTGGTTAAATTACAGATACCCCCCTGAGGTTTCGGAAATTACATCCCGCCCCCTGAAGTTTGTATTTTCATAACAATTTACCCCTGAGGTTTATATTTCATAACAAATTACCCCCTAATTTCTTATGCAAATATAACATTCAGGGGGGAATTCGTAATTTCTCAAACCTCAGGGGGGTATCTGTAATTTAAGATTCAAAATGATTTTTACTATTTTTGTTTAGTTTTAAAACATAATCCAACATATATATACTAATATTTATATTATTTTTAAGTTGCTATGGAGAATTTTTCTATTGTTTGATTCATTTAATTTTCTTTACTTTACTAGTTATACTTATGGATAACTTTTCTAGATTGTTAAGAAAAAAAATGAAGTATGCTTAATATTAAAAATAATAATCTCATAAACATCAGTTCAATAAATTTAACATAAGACAAATAGATATAAGTTCATATGCAAATATAATTAAGTAAAAAAGTAATGAAATCTTGTAGATTGGACATTCAAAATATGTATATATAAGATTTTTACTTGAGTTCTATGTAACTAAAAAATAAAAAGAGAAAGTGGCATTACATACAAAATTTATTAAAAAAAATTAAAAAATAGAAGCATAATGGCCGTAACGGTGTTGTACAGCAATGTAACGGCCATTACGGCCTTTACGTAACGATGGCAGCTGTTATGGTTGTGAATTTCTATCACACTGCTATAGCGGCCATAACGGATGGCGGTAACCACCACAACCGTTACTATAGAGAAATTGATGTATATTATTGATTGATGTTATGATGTGTTACAAGATTGATGTATTTATATTTTTAGTACAAATGTGAGAGGCTCCTTATATAGGAGATATAGGTGGTGTAGGTGAAGTGGAGGTGGTAGTGGTGTAGGTGAAGTGGTAGTGGTGTAGTGGGTTAGGTTTAGTGGAGTAGGTGAGGTGGTAGTGGTGGGTTAGGTTTAGTGGAGTAGGTGAAGGTAAATTCTAACAGTTACGTAATGGTTACAACCGCTTTTTAAAACCTTCATTCCAAGTTTCTGCATGTACACAAATATGAAAGGAATAATGATGGTCACTGGATCATGAGTCCAACACAACGGGTATTATTGATACGTAGCACATCAAAGTAATTGTGTGCAGGTTGATTAAAGACTTTGTCAATATCAACAAAGCATGATCACCTATTCATGTGCAGCTAAAATTGATCAAAAGATTTTACTCACAGGAAAAAGGAAATCTAATGCATCCCAGGCTGCATGACGAACAGCTCTTGTTGGGTACATTGGACCACCAGGAGAAGTGAAGCTATACAAGCAAGTTTTCAATCTCGTACTTGTGGTCATTCTCAGTGCCAGACCTGTAGAGATAAGCAGAATTGATTAGAAGAATCTAGGCTAATCATTTTTTTTTTTTTTTTTCTGGGATTTTTACATGGACCTTCCCCTAAGGTTTGATAATTATAGGGTCCCTGTAATATCTGAAACTTCACTATCCTCTCCTGCTTTTTGACAATATACAAGGACCTCCCCTCTGTTAACTCACTGTTAGATGGTTAACAAAATCTTGTGATGTCAATCAATTTGAGTGTTTAAATGTCAAGTGCCCTTTTTCTAGCATTGCAAGACAAAAGGGCCCCCATCTTGCATTCAGCACATTTTACACATGCAATCTAACACACCCCAGACCAACAACCAAGGCAGCAACACCTCCAACCACCATATCTCAAGCTATCCATTATCTTCCCCACAACACACCCACACATACATTTGTTTGTCAAGAAAAATATCGAAATTTTCTTATGTAATGGAAGATACATTTGAGAAAAAAAAAAAGAAAAAGAAAAAGAAAAAGAAAAAGAAAGAAAAAAGTACCAATGGAAATTATGGCTCATCATGAGCTACCATCACCACCAGTGCTCATCGATGACCAACCCACTCCGGCCACCATCCATTTTAGATCATTACAGACCTTGTGGGAGCAGCAGCAATAGCTTTAGATCAATTTGTAGCTTAATAGACATGTACAAGAGGGTAAGAAGTGCACTCTATGCGAGTGGGGCAAAACTTGTAAGATTTGAGACGACCCACATGGCTACAACTACTAGAGCGACTGCACTATTGCTGGCTTTGCCACAAACCCAGGTAGATGGGCACAAGGAAAGCAAAATTCCACATCTCCCACCCAAAATGCAATAAAATAACCCACCTTATATCCAGCATCCAACTTATGAGCAAAGCCATTATTAGGCTTACTAAATTGAAGGGATAATCGGGTTCCAATGTTCTGCATTAAAAAACAAAGAGAGGAGGAATATCTAAGAACTTCGATGAAGGAGACGCTTAAATGCAAGTTGTTTTGTGAAGAGTGTGCTGACTTGGCGGTGATGGGAGGTGGGTTTGGAATGCCGACTCATCAATTGCACGAACTGCCCATGCTTTTGATCACAGTCTCGGTGGCGCTTTTGCTCTAGCAGTCCTCTCAGACACCAATACCAAAGTCTTGTGTGCACCTTGGTGGTGGTTATTCACGGATTTGGGCTTCGGTGATTGGGATGGTTAGGGTTTGGAGAGAGGGGTGCAGAAGGGATGAATAAAAGCATTGGAGGTACAGCAGGGGTGCATTTAGGTAGGCAGAAGAGGGGAGGAAAGGCGTTGGCCAGTGGCTATGGTGAAATTTGGAAAGGGAGAGAGGGGAGGGGACGGATGCCTTATGACTTTCAGATAAGGGTATTATGTATTTATAAAAATTGACTTTTCAACACTGATTTCTATTGTTTAATGTAATGGTATAGTGATACTTTTAGTTCCGTAATTGACTCCATCCAGCCAATAGCTCTAGCAGAGAGCAGTGTAATTTCAAAAAACATATGGGAAGTCCCTGTAATTGTTGAAAATTCAAGGGAGGTCTATGTTATTATTATTATTTTTTAACTTATATAAGTAAAATATAGCCTCATCATATTAGATAGAACATAGTTTTCCAAAACTTAAAATCTCACCATATCCATGCTATCTGTGGTTGAAATACTATTACCTTGGAGAACTTTAATCTGAGAAAGGTAATGTAACAGTACTGGCTCCACCTTCAATTTCTGAAGCTGATCATATTGGAAAATTGAAGACCATATTAAAAGGCATTGCTATGAGCAATATACTTAAAGTCATCAAATGATGCGGGGTCTCTAAATGGATTATTTCAACTCTTACCTGATCAGTGAGTTCAATAACAAAAATATCTGCTGGACCACCAACAAAGAAAGCAGTTGGAAAATCAGGAAATTGCTTCAAGAAGCTTTCAAGCTTGTTGTCTGTAAAGGGAAAAAATAAGCCAAATCAAACAAACAAACAATATAGTAAAATGCTAAAGACTGCATATCTTGACTTAAACAGCAAAGTTTTAAGTATTGATAAGGTATGTATACCTAAGTTATAAAATAACATGAACCTTGATAATAGAAGAAATAAATCTCGTTGGGCCTGACAAACAGTGAAGGATTTACAGGTTAACTCTCTGCTACTTACAACACCCACTGAATAATGATTTACACTACACAAGATAGCATGTGAAAAATATATGAGCAATGCCTGACCTGCAGGGGAATTTTCTTTAATTGCTCAGGCACCAAAGCAACTTCCTCCAGAAGATACTGAATCAATCAAGGGAAGAGGATCAGAGAGAAGAAGAACAGCATCTTCATATCTTTCATGCAATATAAAATAGTCGGGGAGAGACTATCATATCCTAAAAAGCAATTGTACCCGGAAGAGAGATTGGAAACGCCTTGTGTTTGTTTGGATGTCAATCCTGCATAAGTATGTTTAATGTTATAGAATAACAATTTCTGTCTTCTTTTTCATTTTCCCTTTTTTAAAGTTTTTGTTTTTGCAAAAAACTTATTATAAGAGATAGTCCCTGCGGATGATAATAGGGATAAAGGGAAGGAAACAGTCAAGGACAAGGGCGGTGCACCATCGTTTAACTAAGCTGGACTGTCTGTCGGTTTTGCACTGGATAGAACATAGACAATCCAGTATCTTACCAACAATGAAATTAAGGGTAAAATATTGCATGAGTAAAGGTGTCTGACCAATGTGAACCTCCACATTCCCACCCTCTAAAAATCTAGAGTTCTACTGTACTAATGAGTAAAGCCCTTTTGTTCCGACAGTCCTGAGTAGCTAGGCACCCTGTTCCCCATTCCACAGATCCACCTCTCTCCCACCACTCATTTGTTTGAATCACTAACCATATAAAATGGAGTAAACAAAATCCTATAAAATGGGAAGGCCATCTTGAGCCGGTTTCAAGCTGGTAAAAGAAGGCCATAAATGAACAAGAACAACAATGCCAATGCATTTGAAATCATTTCTTGGGAAAACAGTAACAAGACCAAAATTGACAAAGATAAATAGCTCCAATTCTCACAAAGATAGAGAGAAACGTCATAAACTAAAAGGTGACCTTAGCATAATCCTTAAGAAATAATGCTCTTATTAAACCCGTGGGAAACATTCCACGTTAGATGAAAAGTTGACTTCAATTATTTTCTTTTCATTTAATGGTCCAGAGACTCAAGATAATAACCCTCCATAATGAAAATGATAGCTTTAAAAACAGTAGTAATGCTTCATTTGATCTAAGAAAATGGAGAAAATAAGAGAGTAGTTTTAGGTTATAATTTTGGAATCCTACAACAATCCAACTTAAATGGTTGATGCTACCAAATTTATATTGTTGCCTATGAGATTTAGTTTAGTCAAACAGAGAAACGACCGTGCGTTGATAAAATGATAGCAGTGGATTACAGTTTGAATATATGCCCAACAATGACTTACAGCATTAAATATTTACCAGATAATGACTATTTTTAACATGCAAATGCAAATATCCGTACCAGAAGACATTTGTAGCACCTTGAACAAGAGCTGATGAGTAGCGGAGGAGGACTTCCAAATTATCAAGTTGAACGTACATTTTCTTCTATATATAGATTGTATAGGAATTGTAATTTAATCAATCTTGTAACAATTACAAACATCAATCAATAATACAATTCTCTTTTTGTCTTTATACATTAAATTTCTACATATGTTTATTAAACTCCAATTTGTTAACGGCATCCTGTAACATGCAAACGAGTGACTTGACTAGGGTTTTTTGTTTTTTGTTTTTTTTTTGGAGACAAGTAAAAGAATGACATGACTAGTGCATGCTGAATTCCCATAAAAACTAACATCTTGTCACTTGCATTTAGTAAACATGGTTGCCGTGTATTGGCTTCAGACATTGATTAGGCCTGTCAGTATAGCCTAGGTAGCCTGAGGTCAGCCCATACATTAGGCCAAGTATAAATTAATGTTTCTCCATGAAAGTTAGAATGATTTACCCAACTTCAATTTGAACCCAATAACATCTTTGCTAATTTTCACAATATTAACAAAATAAATTAAAATGCTTCATATTTGAACAAGATAAGCTTCAAGCTATGTTACATGAACTCGGGGTGTGGGTGCTGCTGGTGTGGATGCGTATCCAAGTGTTAGACCAACCTAAACCTAAATCTTAGGATATTGGGATATGTGCCCAAAAGTTGGGCATGGGTACAAGAACATGTCGGAAAATTAGAGGTTCCAAATGTCTAAATTGGGTATGAGCATTAGACACATTCCACACCATTACCCTTGTTATATCTGGTGGACATGGGTACACTGGGAGAAGTAGAAGAGACCATGCAACACAAGATTTGGGTTAAACAAGGTATGGCTCAAACTAAACCCAACATCACTATGACTTAAATTTGGACCAAGAATAGCTTGGCCAAAAACTTGAACTAAGCTCGCCAAAAAAAAAACAACTCGTGGGCCTTGGGGAAACCTCAGGGTTGCCCAGACCTATCAACAATCCTCCCCTTGAATTGTTCCAACCAAGCCTACCCATGTGGCCTGAAAAAACTTCTACACAAATCTTGAAGTGGACAGCTAACCCTTTTTGTCAGTAAAAAGGGCACAGTTTATTATGTATCATTTCACACAATGTGCAGATAAAAATTCAAAAATAGGAAAAAAATTGAAGAACTAGCACCAAACCAGGTTCCAGATATCAAAGCAAAAGTAAACCAATCCAAAGCTAATCACACTCCATATTTCTCAGTGCCCAAGCTCCAGAACAGATCGTAGGGATAAAAAAAGTATTAGAACCACAGAATTTCATAATAGAAGCAGCTTCTTCGCTCGAAACAAACAATGAAGTCTGATGAGACCACAACTGCTAAATTGGACAAATGACAAGCAACAGGGCTTAGATGCTTTAGATACATGACTGACAAGGCTGCAGAATATGTGTAACGCCCCAAATTTCTAGCACAAATGATAATACAACAATAATGGCTCTTTCAAGGAAAACCGAATATAAATCTCCAAACTTACATTACATGGTACAATAGTTCTTCATGCAACAATACATTAATCCAACAAGTAAATAAACAAATAAATACTCCCAAGGGTATACAAGTTTCCAAGGCTTGAGCCTGGTTATACAAAACGGTTATTCAAACCCACACAAAGATAGCCCTTAGCTTACACACAGAGTCACAGCAAACGAGAGCATTGTACTCCCAACACACATACTTCCACGCCCCTAGTTGGGTGAAATCATCACATATTTTCCTGCACAAAAACCCCGTAGGGTGAGCATAAAGCCCAATAGGAAATTCTTAACAAAGTATATACATTTTATACAAGTCTCAAGAGAAGAAATGCACATGACATGCCATGCGCTTTTTGAAGATAAATCACATTTTCATCTTTTAAAAACCATTATGCTCAATGATATCATGCAATTTCAATTGTTCAAAACTTAACAATTTATTTCAAAGGCGGTAAATACGACTCTGGTAATCCCTAGGTCGGTGTCTGCAAGTAGACTATACAAGTACTACAAATTTGTCATTTTTACCGGTATTAACCGGAAGGCTCGACATCTATCCGTGCAGGTTTTTGGTCTTTCACCCCGGACTCTCAGGCCAACTTATTTAGTATCATCTACACCATCTATCAAGACTTATCAACGTATTTACCCCAAAACCATTCCATGAAAACTTGTTTCTCAACATTCTTTCCTCAATGCAAGTTTTCAAATCAATTTTCAAAGTTTAATGTAATCAAATGAATTGATATACCAATAATACAAGATGAATATAAATACTTTTATTCCAATTCATCATCCAAGGAATAATACAATTCTCTCTTCTCAAGTATCCTCAACAATTAGTCATTTCAAGACTATTTCAACGTTTTGAACAATAATTTTCAAAATGAACAACAATTCTCATATTCCCTGAAATTCATCATTTATATAAATATAAATAAGAAATTTTCCAAACATCCATTTTTTTTGACACATGCCGATCAAAAAAAAATTTTTTGACACAAAAAATAAATATAACAATATCATTTATGGATTTTCAGTCTCTTTTAAATTTTTTTCCAAATTCAAAGTTTTCTCACCAAAACTATACCACTCAAATCTTTTGAAAGAAAGCTTTCCAAAATCATTTTTTCTTCAATCAACGAAGATCAAAACCCATAAGATCATTTTAAAAGAACAAGAGACAAACCCACTTTTAAAATCGCTAAACTTCTTGAGTTAACAATCAATTTTCAAAGCTATTGAAGGATGATTTTGAAAATCATCTAGATCTTGCAAAAATATACATATATAACTCTAAGAAAATTCCTACCTCAAGTTTTGAAGAAGAAATGAGATGAAACCCCCAAAATCAATGGTGCCGAAACTCGATCTTCACCGCACACAACGAAACCCTCGAGAAGTTAACCAACTTTGATGAAGAACCTATGGCAGAATTCTAACGGATCTTGAGAAACCAAGATTTTGATCCAATTTGGCGCAAGAAAAAGTAGAGAGAAGGAAGAGGAAATGTTTTTAGAGAGAGAGATATACAAAAGTGATTTGAAATATCAGATGTACAAACTGATATAACATGGTCCGCTCGAGCGTGGAAAGCCCTGCTCGAGCGTCGAATACACCTTCCCAGTACTTTTGCAAACAGGTCAAACTTGTGGAACCAAACATTCTCCGTTCGAGCGCATAAACGGCGGCTCGAGCAGACAAGCAACTTCGAATGCATTTTGCATTTTTGCTTCAGGGGAGCTGCCTCTCGACCCTGTCAGGGCGCTGCCCTCGGACCCGCCAAGGGCGCTGCCCCCTAGACCCTTGCGAGCAGACCGAGCAGCTCGATCCCCGACCTGCCCAATCGAAGTGGCAAAACATGAAAGAAGGATCGAAACCGGGATCGCTACAAATGATTATACTTGAGAGCACTCATTACCTAAAAGACATCTTATGACAAAAATTCAGTTATAGATATGGGAATGCTAATCTACCTTGCAATAGAATGTCTTAAGCTTCCACCACTACTTCCCGAGCAAAAACACCATATTCAAAAGAGTAAAGGTAGGCCCTTGCATGTCTTTCCTTTGTCATTTTCTTGTTATTTTGTAGTTGCTCATCTTTTTCTCAATTTCCAACAGTGAATGCATTGCTCTTTCTCCTAAAAAATCACAGACCTGTAGAGATAAGCAGAATTGATTAGAAGAATCTAGGCTAATCATTTTTTTTTTTTTTTTTTTTTGGGTTTTTTTTTTGGCCATCCCGTTTGACAAAACTCCTTTCAGCTGTACTTGAATTCACACTTTTATTTTAATGAGACTATGAGTTTTTAGATGCAAATCTAACCTGAATTGTGCCTTGCAGAAAAGTTTGTGGTGTTAATTCTTTCATGTTTTTCATTCCCTCAACTTTAGAGAAAACCAAAATTTCATATTTCAATTCCTCTTTCTAGTCTTGCATGTGCCGCCTTAAAGGAATTCCCTAAAAAATATGATAGCCATCCCTCCGTACACAATCTACCTCAGTAGCTCCCTTATTCCTGGACAAACTAAAAATAGCCAAGAAAGAATTTCTAAGGGCTTGCTGCCCACACTATCTATGTCTACAAAATTGTACCCTCCCCCATTTCCACCTCTCAATCTGATATGACCCGCAAAATTATCCCAAATTCCCAAAGCGTAAGACCGACACCTCTACAAAAGCCCCATCACCCCAAGTTGTACCATTTTTGTAGTTACCACAGACCTCCAAAATCTATTTGTTCTTGAGCCGTACCATATTTTGTGGATACCACAAACCTCCAAAATCTACTCATTTCTAGAACCAACTCCATAGTCATTTACCCAAGAAAACTTCATTAAAAATTTCCAACTTTCAATAACAATAGTACTTAAGCGAGCTCACTTTTGAGGGAGAAAAATGGAAAAACTTTTAATAATGTAGAGATGGCAATTCATACACTTTTATACCAAAGAGGAATATTGTGATTCTTCTTTTGGAGGCTGTGGTAACACTTTCGTTTCTTGCCTGTGAATGCCTCAGTGCACATTGTTGCAACTACTTTTTAATACACTTATATTCTACTTAGCACAAAAAGAAAAAAAGACATTACTATCATATTTCCTCATATTGCCCTTCCATCAACTAACAGGCAAATGCTATACATACCTCCACGTGCACTTAATATTCAAACATATATACATATATGGTAAGTGCTGTAAAGTTGACCACTTTGTATTTTGTCATCAATCCTTCCTCAACAATAACTGCAAGAGTCATAACTGTTGCTCTATTTGAGTGCTGTGTATGTGTTTACTTTGTTTTATTTCTTGCGTTTTATATTATTGCCATAAATCAACATATTTAAAAGAAAATCAAATCATTGTTCCTCGAGTGTTGAAATGATATTCTATTTTATTAGTATTTTTCTTTTTTCCATTTCACATCACAAGGTTTACAACTACTTATTAACAGAAATGAATAGATACTGTTGAACATTCTAGCACATTTTACATTTCCAAGTAAAAAGTAATAACATAAGGGAAATTCTGTCCCTACACTTCTTACAGGCATATGCAATGAACAATCCTCAAAAGGCAAAAACTAGCAAATGAAGTGCGATTCTCCAACTTCAAGCCGCTTCACCAGTTAAGGCATCACTTATTGACCTGAGTCTGGGTCCTCTAGAGTGAATTTTCCAAGAGTGGTTTTTTGTCTGACTGTTGTACCCTCAACTTTTGACTGTTGTAGCTAGGGATGGCAAAATATCCAAACCCAATGGGTCCCCCACCCTAATAAAATAGGTTTGGGGGTTTCTCAATAAGGTAGGGTCAGGTTTGGGTTGAGAATGTAATACCTAATAGGGCTCGGGTCAGGTATGGGAGAGGATAATCCCGCTCCACCGCCAACCCAATTATGTGTATTATTAAAAAATGTCTTATTTTCTAACATATTTTTATTATTTTTTAATGATATAAAATTACCTTAATTTTTTCCCCCCTACTATTTTATGTTTTCTTGATATCACACTTCTTCTATCTCCATTTATTCTACAATTCCACTAAGATTAATGTCAAACAAAACAACACCAATTGTTATACAAGTCATTTGTCATCCAACGTTACAAAATCACATTATTAAATTCAATACTAAAAATATAAGTTATAAAGTTAAACTAGGTGGGTAGGGTTGGGGGTGGGATTACACTAGGCGAGGACGGGGCGAGGGTGGGGGAGAATATTCACTATACGGGGTCGGGGTCGGGGGTTAAGGGCTATGTTATCTAGAACATGGATCGTTTTGGTACGAGGAACAGGAACATGAACCAAAATAAAAATGTGGTATGCCACATGCTCTAAAATGTGGTACGATAGGAATAAACTTCTTAATTTGACATTTAATATATTATAGAGCATTTTTCTTCACATTAATCGTCTAACAACACAATTCTATGAGCATTATGATCTATTGTTTTACATTTTGTCAATCCAAAACTCCACTCTATTAAATGTCAGTTTATTATTTTTTATTTTTTGTCTATTAAAGAGAACCTATGATGAAAACCTAATATGGGCTCGTTTTGGATCATCAAACTCACCATTTTGGAACAAAGGTGTACCACATTTCAGAACATACATTCCAAAACATAAATCACTAAGGAGGGGTAGCATTTTCGGGTAACATTACGCAAGGGTTCCCCAACCCATACCTGGCCCGTTGCCATCCCTTTGTACACTTTTGTAGAATTAAATCTCAATCATACAAAAAATCAGTGTAGGATCACTATAGGAAAAATCACTCTAGAGGATCACTCACAGACATGTAGCAAGTGCGAGCTAATTCGTCAACTTAAAACTTATTTTCCTGACAGCGCATGTCATGATATGCATAAAATGATGTTATGGCATGCCTCATGAATTAGCATCTTCCTAAGGCCATGACAACTCATCAACCTTCAACTACATTTATTTCTTTCCGATTGTACATATATGTTTGTTCACATATGCCCCCTTTAATGCATTTTGACAACTAGTAAAAAGGTAAATGGCAAGATTAATAAACAAATAACAAAGGTGAAAAAATAGTGGAGTTACTAATTGGGTGAGTATAGAATCCTGATCCAGATTGTAGGATCTTACAATTTTACGTTCTCAGTAAGGCCAAACGATCTGGATCGTACTAGGATCTTAAAATGACAATCCTAATTATAAAATCATATAAAATCACACTACGATCCGGATTCTGCCAATTTTTTCTTCTTATATATATGCATGTTAACATGTATAAGTATATAAAAAATTTGACTATAAACTCTTTTTTCAAACGTCTCCTCCAATTTATGTTAACATAGAAGATGCATTATATCAAATTTATCAATTTTAAAATTATGCAACATACATTATCATTATCAATAATTTTTCATTTTATTTTGCATTGAAGGTAGAATCTTACAATACTCAATCCGATTCGCGAGACCCTCCCAATGAACCCACCTAGGATCCCGATTTTAATAGCCTTGGTAACAACAGTGAGTGACCTGTCATGTTCTAGGAAGAGAAATCACATCCGTTGATTCCAAATCCTCATGATCTGTCATGTTCTATAAAGAGAAATCATATCACTTGATTCCTAATCCTCTTTCTCTAAATCTGAGGTTGATGGAATCTTTATATCTGACATGCTTTTTCTCTATTTCTCTATGACTAAACCAAGAACTACACAGAGAGATTTGTGAGAGGGAGTTGTGGAGAAAGGGAAATTTATGTCAGAGGGTCTGAATTGCATTGATTGGGGTTCCATTGAAGCTCTGGTTTCACTTGCTTTTGTGTTCTTCACTCTCTACAAGCAAAAATTCTGCTATCTCCAGCAGCAGAGCACCAATCGGCGTTTCCCTGTTTGAGACCAAAAAGGTAAAAAATTCTCAAACCCTAGCGTGTAACTGTGTAAACATCTATGCATATACTTTATTTTTGTAAATGTGTACTTAAAGGTTATGGGCATCAAACTTAGGCTGGTCTGTGGTTTTTGTTGGTGGTGGTGGTGTTGTCCGAATCATCATCAGTGGCCTTTTTCCATTTTTCCGTCCACAAGATTTGTTCCAGAGTAAAGTGTTTTGGAAGAACTCACAAAAAATTGATTTTTATATCTTCTCTTGTTCTGCAGAGGGCTCTTGATACAACTCTGATCTTGCAAGAGACTCCCTTCCTGTTTGGTACATTTGTCAAACAAAACAACACCAATTGTTATACAAGTCATTTGTCATCCAACGTTACAAAATCACATTATTAAATTCAATACTAAAAATATAAGTTATAAAGTTAAACTAGGTGGGTAGGGTGCTGAAGGAACAACTAAAGCCATAAGGAAAATTCGCATAATTTATCATGATCTTGACGCAACAGATTCATCAACGGATGAAGAGAGACCAGACAAGTCACATAAGTCAAAGCGTATCATCCATGAGATCAATCTTCAAGGTGATGTTCGTCAATCAAAGGCTCCAGAATTGGTGACTCCTACAAAGAAGAAGATATTCACTAATATCATAAACAGACAAAGGCCTTTGTTCACCTAGCACACAGGTGTACGCCAGCGAAAGTGGGGCAAATGGGCTGCTGAAATTCGAGACCCCTTCCAAAGGAGGCGGCTCTGGTTGGGTACTTACAAT